GCAATTAATTGGTTGAATAAAAAATTATATAAGAAATTAAGATGGGAACAAATTGAAAGTATAATTAAAGCAATAAACATCAATGTCAATAATGAAAAAGAATATATTAAATATATTAAAATATCACGTAAAATAAAAGAAAGCACTAAAAGGCACATTAGAGTGAAAGTAAATGATATAATGGAAGGAAGAGTAGAGTGTAATTCAATAATAAAAAACATCATATTAAAGAATAACTCTACTGAAATTGATGAAGAATACCTTAACACTCTCATCAATAAAATAAAAGAAATGAAAGTAGAAAAATGTTCAAACATTAATTACTACTTTCAAAGAAAAGAAGCTGACCGATTAATAATGGAAATTAATAATAGATGGATAATATCAAGAAGCAGAATGCATTATCTGCAAGATGATATGAAGAGGATTTCAATGGTTATGCACATCTATCTCCAAAATAAAATAATAAGAGATAAATTTGATGAAATAAAAGAAATCCTAAAGAAAATAAATAGACTAGAAGATTTGGTCAAGGGAAGGAAATGGTACAGGATAAAGTGCATCATGAAAAATATCCAACTTAATAGAGCAAAATAAAAGTAGCGCGGGTAGCAATATCAGTAAATGGATTGGTCAATAAAGAATCTTTAAGAATGTTGAAAGAACAAAACATTATATTTGCAAGTGAAATAATAGTTAACGACATACTTAATAGGAGTATGAAATACCTAATGGAATGATGTGAAGACAATGAAGGAGTATATAGAAATATGTAATGAACGAGATTCAGAAGAGAGTAAATGAAATAATCTGAAATAAATAAAATAAAGAAGAAAAACAAGAACTATTGAAACTTAATTTAGTAATTTTTAACTTCTTATAAATTCATTTAAAAAGTTAAATTATTCAAATGACGTAATAAATCATATTATACTTTGACGAGAAAACTCATTAATAACTCAAATATATTCTTTATTTTTGTAACTACAATGTAGTCAATAAAAAGGGAATTCTATCATTTATAAAATAAATCATGAAATTAGAAAGGAATTGACAACAAAATACACGTTTATTTATTGGTATATTATTATTGTGTCAAAATTATGATATAGTATTGTTTTGTATTAAAATCACTTATATAATATGTATATGTAAACTTCTTAAGTTTATTTGGATATAAAGTATATTAATAACCCAAAACACATCTTCTTATTTAGTTAGTTATACATTATCTCTTGTTGATATTTCATTTTATTATAATTTATTAATATGAAATGGGTAAACAGTTAAAGGTTTACAAAACATAAACCACCTTTAAAATACTTTCATTTTGTGTATAGTTATAATTTATTACCATCAAGAAATGATACAATAATATCAAAAATATAAAATAATTTTTTAAACCAAAAATAAGTAAAACGTAATTTTTTTTGTTTTATTCTTTCATTTTTTATGTAAATAAAATATCTTTTCATTCATTTATTCAAACAGTTAGTTTATTCTTTGTGTAATAAGATACTCCCCATATAATCAGAGGCACTTATTACACGTTGTTCTAACCAATACATAACTATATTGCTTGTCATAGTTTCATTAAGACCTAATTTATGTTCTAATTCATTTAATAATATACCGTTTTCTTCTTTTGTGATTGTTATCAAAACTGTAGCTTGAAGTGGAGTGACGACATGATAAGTAACAACTCCTTTTAAGTTAGTATAATTTAATTTAACAACACCTGCTTGTTGAAAAGTTAATATTTGTTTAGGATGATTTGACTTATAATTACGAATGACTTCTTTTTTCTTTTCTTTAATTTCTTCAAGGTCAGTATATTTAATTGAGTTTAATTCAGGCCAATAAGCTGGAGATATAATTAATGTATTGAATGTTTTTGTTTTTTTCATTTCTGCCAAAGATTTTTGAACGTCATTAAACATTACTTGACCAGGACAATCTTCTCCAAACACATTTTTTTGAAGAAATTGATAAACATGATTAAGTGCTTGTAATTCGTCTAAACCACAATGCAATAGTTTTGAAGCTAAACCATTTTCATATTCAATTAATAATTGTTCACCATAATGTTGTGCAATTGTTTTAATGATTTGAATTGGGATTTTACCAATATACTCAGGAGGTAAAGGAATAAAAGAAGGAGAAGAAAGTGAAATTAAATCCCATTGTTCTGAATGAAAACAATTATCAGGAAGATTTTCTTGTTGTAAAAATTGAAGAAAATCAGAGAGTAAAACAATATGAATTGATTGGAATGCAATTTCAAAACACATTTTACAAAGTTGAAGACTACCATCAATAATACAAAGGTTTTTCATTGAATTCATTAAAGATATAAGAAAGACTTTACTATTAGTATTCTTATCAAATTTAAAGAGTTCAATGATTTTAGAAACACAGTAGTTAGCTAATAATTTATTTGAATGACAAATTTCTTGAAAATCAACAAACTGAGGAATTAAAGAAGTAGAAATAATTAAATGAGGTAATTGAGGAATATATTTTTTAAAATATAATAAAGCAATTTGTTGATTAAAATTAGGAGAATAAAAAGGAATTAAAAGTTGAGTAATAACATTTAATTGATGAAGAGAATCTACTTGACTTAAATAATATTGTACAATTTCATGAAGTAAATCACTAGTAATATCTGATACAATTGAATTAAAAGGAAATGTTCTTATTAATCTTAATGTAGAAATTAATATATCAGGAATTCCTTGACCTGAATTTGAAGTTAATAAAGACAATGTTTGTTTTAATAATAAAGGAAATACATCAAATAATTTATTATATAAAAGTGCTTGTTCATGTATTGTTTCAAAATGTCTTTGATTAACCTGAAAACATATTTGATGAAATAATGAAAAGAAGTTAAGAGTATCAGCAATAAGACATTGATTAATAAGCGAGTCTAAACTTGTCTGAGTTTCCATTACAAATTCTAATTTAAGTTCTTTTATTTTTTTAATAAAAAACAAATTTTATTTTAATAACAAAAATTTTATTTTATTTTTCTTTTTAAACTGAAAAATAGAAACTAATAAATTTTGATGGATTATTTCATTGATATTCAACTTCCTGAATTTTCAATTTCTGAAGGTATTTATTCAGTAGAACTAAAAAGGGAATATTTAGAAAAATTAATGAAAGCAAAATTGTCAAGTTGTGATTTATTACAACAATTTGGAGTTTTAGAAAATGAAATAAATGAAGAAATTGAATTAACTTTAAATAGAGTAAAAATAGCAAATGAACATTTTCAATTTTCAAACCAAGAAGAACTAAGAATTGCATATGGAATTTATCAAAATACTTTACTTGAATTATTAAAATTTAAAAAAGAATTAATTGAATATCATTCAAGTATTATTGAAAAATTTATTGAAAATAATAATTCAATAAACAATAAAGTATCAAGTGGAACTATTATTAATAATATTGATTTTTATTGTTTAATGCCATCAACTTATATTTCTTCTTTATCATCAAATATTAATGAAATTGAAATTAAATTAAATCAATTGATAAAAAAAAAAGATCAAGAAAAATTAACTTATGAAACTCTTTTTACTTCAATTTTTGGAAATTCAACTGAAAAAGAATTAAAAGAAATTATTAAAGAATTAAAAATTATTGATAAAGAAACTTATATTGAAATTCAAAATAATGAAAAATTACAAGAAAGATTTAATAAAGTTATATTTAATTTAAATAATACTATTGGTGTTCAAATTTATATTTATATTGAAAGTATTAAATTATTTAAAAATAATCAAATTCAATTACTTTCAAAATTAAAAAATATTCAAATTGAAATAATAAAAACTTTAATTAATAATTATAATATTGATCATTCTTATTCTGATGTATTATTTATATTATTTCATAGAGCATTATGTTCTCGTTTAAGTTTATTTATTTCATCTATTCAAATTCAAATTTTACCTTTATCTAATCATGAATTTATTCAAAAACAACAACAACTTTTAAATGATTATTCAAAACATTCATTCCCTAATTTTGATAAATTTGTTTCAAATACTAAATTAAATGAATTTATTCATTCTATTGATTTTACTCAATTAACTATTCCTTATGATTTTATTCTTTCTTTAAATTCTCTTTTTGATCAATTAATACAATTGTGTAATATTGATATTTCTGGAGATACTATTATTCCTATTATCATTTACCTTCTTTTACATTCTTCTATTCCAAATATAAATTTATTAATATGTTGTATTGATCTTTTTACTCCTTCTTCTTTAATTAAAGGTAAATTATCATATACAACTACAACGTTTAAAGCTGCTTTGAATTTAATTATTCAACAATCATAAACTTAAATAAATTTAAACATTTAATTATTTTATTATTTCTTTTTTTTTTGTTATTTTCTTATTTACAATTGATGACAAACCGTTGATTTCCACTCTTGTCATATTGTTGAAGAATAATAGATGTATCATCAGAATAATTACCTTCTTCAACTGTCATACATAATGTTGGATATTTAACACTCCAAATAACACATCCCTTTTTATTACTTTCGTATATTTTCCATAATTGTTCAGCTTGATTTCTTTGTGGTGATTGAATCACTTCAATTCTTTCAGGATCATCTTCTGAAGATGCACTTAATGCCAAATGGCTTTTCTTATTAATAAGATATCCGTCCTGATAATAAAATAACTGACTAGTATTTCCATTATTATCAAATATAACAAGTGGTGCTCTGCGATACTCTCCACCACCACAAATATCTAGAGCAAAATTACTAAAATTTTTTGGACAAAATTGATATTTTAATTGTTTGCCATTCATTTTTAAAGATGAAATAAATTTCTAAGATTTACAAGAAAACATTATTAAAAAATCTTCTTAGAGATTCACTTTCCTAAAACCCTCTTTGTTATAGTTATTTCTGTCAAAACTAAATACATTTTCTTCAATTATTTATAAAAACAAAAAAATATATTATCAAAAAAGAAGTTAACTTAATTAGTGAACTTTAGAAATGATTTGGATAAGATCAACAAGTCTGTTGGAATATCCCCATTCATTATCGTACCATGAAACTAATTTAACAAAGTGTGGGTTCAAAAGAATAGTAGCAGCTGCATCAAAAATTGATGATCTGTTATCATGGACAAAGTCTGATGATACAACAAGGTCTTCAGTGTATCCAAGAATTCCTTTCATTTCTCCTTCTGATGCTTTCTTAATAGCAGCTTTAATTGATTCAACAGTTACTTCTTTTTCAAGTCTGCATGTTAAATCAACACATGAAACATCTGGGGTTCCAACTCTGAATGACATACCAGTAAGTTTTCCATTAAGGGATGGAATAACTTTTCCAACAGCTTTAGCTGCTCCAGTGCTAGCTGGGATAATGTTAGCACATGCACATCTACCAGCTCTCCAATCTTTTCCTGATGGTCCATCAACTGTCTTTTGAGTAGCAGTAGTAGCATGAATAGTTGTCATAAGACCTTCAACAATTCCAAATTCATTGTTAATAACTTTAGCAAGTGGTGCAAGGCAGTTGGTTGTGCATGATGCATTTGAAATAATGTTCATTTCTGGTTTGTATGCCTCAGTGTTAACTCCAACAACAAACATTGGTGCATCAGCAGATGGGGCTGAAATAATAACTTTCTTAGCTCCTCCCTTAATATGAGCTTCAGCCTTTGGAATAGTAGTGAAAACTCCTGTTGATTCAACAACATAATCAACTCCAAGGGCTCCCCATCCAATTTGAGCTGGATCTCTTTCAGCTTTGACAACAATCTTGTGTCCATTAACAATAATGGCATTTTCTCCAGCTTCAACAGTTCCTTCGAATTGTCTGTGGACGGTATCATATTTTAATAAGTAAACCATGTATTTTGGATCCATGAATGGATCGTTGATAGCAACTAATTCAAAATCTTTTCTTTCAAGAACGACTCTAGCAACGAGTCTTCCAATTCTTCCAAAACCATTAATACCGACCTTAATTGACATTTTCTAATTTAATGTTTTTCAGTAATTTTGTCGTTCTTTTTATTAGTTTGCCACGTGTGATATACTTACGACTCGTCATTATAGGTTTCTTTTTTTTTTTAAGTTCTTCTTATTTTTTCTTTTTTATTTCAACAAATCTACTCCAAAATAATTTTTTTCTATTTGATATTTGTTACATTAATTTTCTTTTTTGTAAAAAGGGAATAAAAAATAAAAAAAATAAAATTGTTTATTCTTCTTCTTCGTTTAAAGATTATAAATTTATGTTTTGTTCTTCAAAATATTCAAAAATCTTTCATTTTTAAAGTTGGATAAATAAAAGAAGAAAGAAAAGATTTTTTCATGTATTTTTTAATAACAACAATAAGAATAGCAAAAAATAGGTTGATGTTAATAACTAACATAATATATACTATATCGTATGATTAATTAAATATTCATTCTTTAACTAGTCATAAAATAACAAATTGATTCATTCCATAAAACAAATATTGCTCCAAAATAATAAGTACTTTCTCCAATTAATAACCAAAGTAATAATAACATTAAATAGAAGTAAAAGTTATCTTGAAGCAACTAACAAACATGAAAAACCTATTGACAAATATAAAAATTACTCTTTTATTTGTTGACAATGTTGACATAGAAGTAAAAAGAGTAATTTTTAGCACTGTAATTACAAAAAGTCATATTAAAGATAATATTATTACACTGGTATTAACATACTTTTTATTGAATACACAAGACAATATAAAACTAACATAGCACTATAACACTATTTTATAATTTATCATATAATCAATTCTTTTGAATATATATCTTATTACATTCATTTGTCGAGTTTTCAAGTTAAAAAGATGATATGTTGTAATATTCCTATATAAAGTTAAACTACTAATACAAAACAAAATAATTGACGCTTTTTTTTATTTCATTTAACAATTTTTTATACAAAACCTCTACATGTATTTCAATTGAATATGTAAAAATGTATTTCCAGTAATATATGTAAAACAATTAAAACACCCTTTCTCTGAGGGTTATTTTCTTTCATATTTTGTGTGTAATTATTTATAATAAATCAACAAGTCACACATGATACATACAAACTAAACTAACAAAAAATTTCTTTAACACTTTATATTGTTTTATCTAATAACATCAATAACTCATTCAATAATTCTTGCTTTATTATCAGATATTCTATTTTAAAAATTTTTTTTTACAGTTGAATAACAAATTAGTATAATCTTCATATTCTTTTAACGATATACCTAAAAATAAGAATATTTATAGTTATTAAATTCATCACCATACTTTTCATTTATGAAAATGATAATAAAAATACACTTTTCTAATTAAGTCATTTTAATGAGAATATGTTTTATCTATTTTTGACATTTGAACTATTCTATTTTCTAAGTAAAATAAAATAATTCAATCATTTCATGTAATTATTTTATTTCATGGCAATAAAGTATTTTAAAATTACTCACAACTTTTGTTTCTTTTGAGAATTAACATAAATGCTATACTTTTGTTGAATATAAATATTTGAGAGTGATTGGCAAGAAGTTTCAAAAATAGTGATAGAAAAAAGTAAAATAATTCAAGACAATATGAAAAGTAATTAATAAACATTAAATTTTATGAAAAAATAAAAAGGAAAAAATAATGAGAGTTCAATGAAGGTAAATTAATACCGCAATTAGCCTGAAAGTGCAAGAACTAAATTAACGAACTTATCGAATTCAGCATTATCAATTTCTTCTCTCTTCATATTGAAAGTCTTTTGGTAAATACTTCTGCATTGTCCAAGATAAGCAGCAGTACTAATGAATTGGTTCTTTGAAACTTTCTTAGATCCCAATGATGAACCGTTCATTTTCAATAAGACATCAACTGATCTCTTATTGCAATTGAATCCAAGCATTGGAAGAGCTTTGATTAATTCATTGACATCAAGACTTCCACTTTTATCAGCATCAAAGTGTTTAAATGTTTCATTACAAAGGTTCATGAAATTCCATAAAGCAAGGAATTCAAAGAATCCAATTGATCCTGACATATCAATATCAAAGACTCTCATTAATCTCTTTATTGTTTTATCGTCAACTTTAATTCCTCCTGGGAATTTAGCTTTCTTTAATTCTCCAATTTCAAGAGTTCCAGATTTATCCTTATCAACACTAATAAACCATGATTGAAGGTTTTGTAAATCTTTAGCATCTAATCTTTCAACTAATGGGAACCACCATTGGAACTTGAGATTTGGATCAGAGTTAACAGCAGCTTGAATCATTTGGGTGACAAAAGCATCAGCAGCAGCTTGGATAGCAAACAAAGACATTGAGAATTTGATTTTCAAGTTCAGAACTTTTCAATTTTAGTATCTACAGTTTATTGTTTTCAGGAAAACTTCTACTTTTTATTAACTATAAATTGCACAAAAAATCGGGAGTTCTATAAAAACTATTTCATTCATCAAATTAGAATCTTCTAATACTCAAAAACGATTCTTCTCGAAAGGAAAAATTGACGATCTTGGATGTTTCGTTACTAGTTCTCTGTTTTTTAAGTTATCATCTCATTAAGTTTATTCAAATCTTCAATGTCTTTGTTTGCTATTCAAGCTGCTGCTGATGCCTGGGTTGCTCAACATATCACTGCTGCATATCAAGCTGATCCATTAATCCAAAGAGAATGGTGGTATCCACTTGCTACCTCAATTTCAGGAACTGAATTTAAAGAACTTCAAGACTTCTTTGTTAAGACTGACAAAGATAAGTCAGGATCACTTGAACTTGATGAATTAAAGAAAGCTAAATTCCCAGGAGGAATTAAATTAGATGAGAATGCATGCAGACACTTAATGAGAATTTTTGATGTTGATTTGTCAGGATCAATTGGATTTTATGAATATCTTGCATTAATGAAATTTGTTAAATTAGCTACTGCTGTTTTCACTAAATTTGATAAGGATAAAAGTGGAAATCTTGATGAACAAGAAATCTATGCTGCACTTCCAGAACTTGGATTTGATCTTAATATGAAAGCATGTAAGATTTTGATTCAATTATGTGGAAAGGGTCTTCTTACTAAGAAGATTCAAATCTCCCAATTCATTAGTTGTGCTGCTTATCTTGGACAAATCAGAACCATTTATCAACATGGTTTTAAACAAGCTCAAGGTGACTTTAACAGAGCAACTTTCTCTAAGTTTATGAACTTAACATTGATGTTGATGGATGACGCTTAAATTTAATTACATCATAATTCACTCTCGTGAGGTCATATTTTTGTTTTTATTCTTTTTTATTGATTCAATAAAAGATGACAACAATTTTGTATTAATCATCACATTGTCTTATTTTTTTATTAACTAAATCATCACTTTTTTTCATTTTAACTAATTATAAATCCTATTGATATTGTAGAATGAATTAACAATAAAATATATAAAAATAGTCATGAACAAAATGGTATTGGTATTGTTTTTTTATTGTTAATGTCTATTTGAAAAAGGATTGTTTTAAATAAGAAATAATAGTAAAATTTGCAATAAATAAAACTTAATTTCATAGTAATGTAATATTTTATTAAAAATGATAAATAGAAATGCTGGAGTATAGAATAGACAATATCTTTTTATTTAATTTATTTTGGATTTAGTCACATTACGTTATTTAGAAAAGATTAAGAGAAAATTGTAATTAACATAAATACAAAAAATACCCGTTATTTATGTTTAATAGAATAAAAATAAAATAAACAAGTCTTTAAAATAGAATGAATAGTTTCGCAAAAATTCATTTCTAACTTTTCTCAGAGTTTTGGTTGTTTGTTTTTCCACACAAATATTAACTTTTTTAATTTAAATTAATAACAAAAAAATGCTTAAAACTTGTTATATATTACATACAATTTTCATTCATTTTGATATGAAAGTTAAGAAAAAAAGAATTACAAAAGAAAGTTTCAAGTAAAAATCAATTATGCCTTTTATTAGTGTCAATAACTCTTCTCTAATAGAGTTAGAAATGGCAAACAACACATGAAATATTATCTTCAGAACCAAGAATATATGCCATATCTCTTATATAACCTGCAATTTCAGACATTCTTTTTGTTCCTTCTTTCTTTCTACAAATATCAGCTACTTTGCTATTAGACAATACATCCCATACACCATCACATCCTAAAACAATACACATATCAGTATCTTTTCTTCTAACATATCTGTTTACATGTGGTTCAGATGATACAAATGGTTGGAATCTTACATCACCAATAGATCTTGTGATGGCTAAAACTCCATTAACTCTTCCTTTAGTAATATATCCACCAACATCAACAACTCGTTGAATTTCATGTTCATTATATGCTTTATCATCTTCAGTTAATTGTTCATAATCTTGTTTTCTAACAACAATAGCACGTGAATCTCCTACATGTGCAGTATAATATTCATTTGGTGTTACTAATAATACACATGCAGTAGTTCCATCATTAAACTCTTTTTTATTAACTTCATTTGATAATTCATTAAATGTTTCAATAAGAGCAGCATCAATTCCTAAATTATTTTCAGTCATTAAATGTTTCTTCAAAATACGTGCAAAATGACATGCAACAAAATTACTACTTTCTGCTCCTCCATGTCCATCAAATAATCCAACTAAATGAACACCACCAGCAGTAAAGTTCTCAACAATAATTAATGCATCTTCCATTTGATCTCTATTTCCACACATTTCTGAACTTCCAACACTAAATGTATCATTAGAAATAGCAACAGAATTAAATCTCATTGAATTTGGTTTTCCTAATGAAAAATGTTCAAGTGGTGTTTGAGATGTAAAAATAACAGGTCCAGTAATAGGTGTTTTTAAAGAAGAGGAGAATTTATTTAATTTAACTTTATCATTCATAGTACAATGGAAATTAGTTAAACGAGTTAATGCAGAAGTAAAGAACATTGGGAAATTTTCTGTGCTTGAATAATCTCCATTATATGACAAATCTAATGATCTTAATGAAGTCATTCCACATAAATCTGATGGACATTTTTCAATTTGATTAGTTGAAAGATCAAGATCTTTTACTCCAACTAAATTAACAATTGGTGTAATTTCTTTAATATAATTACAACTTAATTCAAGAATTTCTAAATTAGTTAATAATGAAAATTTCTCTGGTAATTCTGGAATTTGATTACAATTTAAGAAAAGTTCTACTAATTTAGTCATAGAGAATAATGATTCAGGAATTTTTGATAATTTATTATGTTCAAGATGTAACGTTGTCAAATTAGTTAATTCATTCATTGTTTCTGGTAATCTATCAATAATATTAATTCCTAATAATAATGCTTCTAATTTAGCGAAACAACTATATGAAATATCTGGTAATGAATCTAAATAATTATTTGACATATTTAATACTACTAAATTAGTACAAGTTGTAATAGACATTGGGAATGCATTAAATGAATTAGAAGATAAATCTAATGCTGTTAATGAAGTTCCAGTAAACATTTCTAATGGAATACTTCCAAGCATATTTTTTTGAAGAATTAATGTTTTAATTTCTCTTAAACATTTAATGTTAGGAAAGTCTTTTAATCTATTTTGTCCAAGATTTAATTTATGAATTGAATATTCCATGTCTGGTAAATCAAGTTCAACAATTTGATTACAACTTAAATCTATATCTCCTGAACATGGTAATTCTGTAACTTTTTCAAATTCTCCATTAGATAAATTAAGTTCTGAAACTTTTGTAAATTTTTGAAGACCAGCTGGTGGTACTTTAACTGATGTATGTTGTAATGTTAATTTACGAAGTCCAACAAGAGACATAAATGATTTAGGTAATGTTTTTAATGGAGAATAAGAAATATCAATTTCTTTAATTGTAGTTAAATTTTGAATTTGATCATTAATTTCATTAATTGGGTTAGCACTAACATCGAGTACAGATAATTTAGTTAATTTACATAATGATGGTGTAATTTTATCTATCTTATTATTCGAAATATCAAGAATTTGTAAATTACTCATTTTAGACATACCATTTGGAATAGTTGTAATTTTATTTTCTTTTACTTTCAATACTATTAATGATGAAAGTTCTAATAAAGGAGTTGGGAATGATGTTAATAAATTATTAGAAATATCAATAAATGTAAGACTAGTTAATTTGGATAAATGTTTTGGTACACTTTGAATTCGGTTAATTGATAAATCCATAAATCTTAAAGCATGTAATGAACCAAAGTCATCATCAATTTTTGTTATTTGGTTAATAGATAAATTAATTTCTGTAAGTGACGTTAATTTAATTGATTTACAAAATCTTTTTAAATGATTACTTGATAAGTCTAAAGTCTTAAGACTAGGAATATTTATTTGACTTGGAAGTGTTTTAATCATATTATCATTTCCTCGAAATTTTTGTAGTTTTGGTATTGAATTAATTTGTGATGGAATTTCTTGAATACGGTTCATTGATACATCTATTAAAACAACAGTCTTTAATTCTTTCTTTACTTCTTCTTGTGGAAATTCTGTTAAGTTCTTTGCATGTTTAACAATCTTCGTTTCAGTTTTCTCAGCCATTCCTTTAAAACTGATTTTTAAGTTTTTATCTTATTCTTTTTGTTTTAGTTAAAAATAGTTTTTTTTCTATTAAAAATTGTTTTGTTGGTTCAGAATTAAACAATTTGGTTGTTAAAAAAAAAAACTTAAAATAGTACAAATGAAAAATAATCCACTAAGATTATCTGATTTGATGAAGAAAGTGATAGAAGGTGAAATGACTGACAAACAGTTTGAAACAATTTTTAGAAAAAAGATGGAATCTACAAATAATACTGTTATAGTTAGTGATTTATTGTTATTCAGTCAAAACGAAAAAGATGAAAGGATTGAAAGCAAAACAAAGTGAGAAATTGATATTGAAAATAAGATTGTGATTGAATCTAAGTAACACTATATGACCTTATTGTCTCCTAAAGCTTTAAGTACAACTGAATATAATAAATTATGGAAATTTATTGATTCTAACTTGGTCTTGTTATTTTCTTCTGAACCTACAAAAATATCTGAAATGGAACTGTATCATTTTGTTTATGTTATATCGATTGCACCAGGAGAATTATGGAAAACATTATACTCTAATCTCATTCTATTTCTTAATCATTTTTGTGAGTCTATTTGTTGTAAAATGTCAGTAAAGCCAATTACAAACTTATATATTCAAGAATATTTAAAATATGAACATGCTTTAAAGAAAATGGAAAAAATTTGTAAATATCTTACAACATATTATCTTCATGAATCAATTATTGATTCTGGTAAACGTATCTGGAAAGAATTAGTTTTTAAACCAAATAGTTTTGAAATTATTAGTGAATGTCTCTCTTATTTAAATGAAATTCGTCAATCAAAAATAGACCAGTCATTTTTATGTACATTTAGAGACTGTTTATTATCTCTTGGTGCAACATCTCAAGCATCTAGAGAAAATTATGAAATATTTGAAGATGAATATATTAAAGACTTTGAGTTACATTCTAGCTCTCTCTTGAAATATTCTCAAAGAGATTTTTTAGAACAAGTCACGATTATGGAAAAAATAGAAGAAGAACGGGTATGGGTTTCACTAGAAAATACAACAAAAGTAAGAGCAAAAAAGATATTAAACGACATATGGCTAAAAAAAAGTGATTGTGTTAGTCAATTATTATTACAAGGATTAGATAAAGAAAATGATCTTGTAGAAATGATTTTTAATGGATGCAAACGAGCTATTGACTCTTCTCTCTTAGAAAAATTAAGAGGAATTTATGCTAAATGGATTTTATCTATAGCCTATAAAAAACTTGATAATTTCACTGGTGATAGAAATGGTTGGATAGAAAAATTAGTTGATATTTTAAGGTGTGTTAATAAATCACTTGATCTGTTTCATAACGATTTGTCTTTTATTCAAACTGCTCAAATCACTCTGAAAAATATTATGTCTTCAGTTCCTCATAAAAATACACCAAATAATGCAATGTATATTGCCCTTTATTTACATGACTTATTAAGAAAACACTACTCCCATTCTACTTGTTTACAACCAACATTAAATTATAGTTCTGTAGAAGTACTTGAATTAAGTAATTATTTACAAGATAAAGATGTGTTTGAAGAATGGTATTTAAAATTATTAGCAAAACGGTTACTGAATAAAGAAGCTACAAACACAAGTATGGAAGAAAACATAATTAACAAACTAAGAGAAATGAGTGGTGTATCATATGCAACTAAACTTGGGAGAATGTTCTCAGATATTGCCTCAAGCATATCTCTAACAAATGACTTTAATAATTTTATCAGGTCAACTATTCTTGATGTGAGTATAGGTACTGGAGGAACATGGCCTTTAAAACCAAGTGAAAACATAGAATTACCACCTGTCATGAATGATTTACTTAATTCTTTTGAATTTTTTTATAAGAGGAAATATGAATCAAGGAAACTTCAATGGGTAATGAATATGTCTACTACCCAAATAGAATGGAAATATAATGGTGAATTAAAGAAAGTAACTCTTCCAACATTAGCCATTGCATTAATTATTAGTAAAAGTGATGGTTTTCAAATGAAAAATGAAGGAGAAGTTTATACTATGTACCAGGCATTAATTAAAAGCGAAATCTTTGATTCAAGTGGCAATATTACAAGTAGTTTTCTTCAAGGTCATCACAAAAAATTAGGAATAACTGAACAAAAAACTAGTGAAAAGATCAAAGAGGATCGAAGTGCTTGGGGAGAAGCTGTTTGTGTTAGGTTAATGAAAAAAATGAAAAAATGTAGAGAATTGGATTTGATTAATATGGTGATTAAAGAAAAAGCACCATTTATTCCAACCGAACAATTTGTTCAAAACGTAATTGAGAAGCTCATTGAGAAAGAATATATTGAAAGAGATAAAATAAAAGGGGTGTTAAATTATCTCTATTAAATTAATTGTTTTTTTCTTTATTTTGTTTAATAATATAAAAAAAGTCTCAGTCAAATCAAAGATTTTTAACATCAGTTATATCAGATGTCCCTATCTTTCAATTCCTCACAGACACTAAAATGATTCTTTCCTCTTTATTTATATTTAAAAAAAAAGAATTATTAAATTGTGGTAATAAATAATTTAACTAAACTACATAATTTCTTAATATAAAATTTTTTATTAAATTATTTTGTTATTAAATAACATAAAAAATATTATAATAAACAAATTATAATTAATAAGATTTGTTTTTAAAAAAAACCCTTAGGAAAAACAAAGGAACTTAAATTTGACAGGAGAAATTCATGGTCAGAGTTAACGTTCTTGCTGATGCTCTTAAATCAATTACCAATGCTGAAAAACAAGGTAAAAGACAAGTTATGATCAGACCAGCTTCAAAAGTTATTTGTGAATTTTTGAACGTTATGATGAAACATCAATACATTACTGACTACACTGTCGTTGATACCCACAGAAGTGGAAAGATCGTTGTTAACTTAAATGGAAGACTTAATAAATGTGCTGTCATTTCACCAAGATTCAATGTTACTCTTAGTGAATTTGATAAATGGGAAGCTAACTTACTTCCATCAAGACACTTTGGAGCACTTGTTTTGACCACATCATATGGTATTCTTGACAATACTGAAGCTAGAGCTAAACATACCGGAGGAAGAATTCTTGGATTTTTCTACTAAATGATTTTCTCGTAATGAATTTTTTCTGAATTTAATTTTTCTTTTTTTTTTGTTTTACTTTAAATAAAAAGAAACTACAAAAACGATAATACAGAAATAATGAATGAGATTGTATCATTAGGACTTGCTCGAATTAAAAAAAGTGCACTTGAATTAATTGATGATGAAATTGTTGGAAGAGAAGAACAAAAAAGAGGAATTGAAAGTAATATTGATGTATTTATTCAAAGTCCATGTACTAGAATACTTTTTATTAATGGAACACCAGGAACAGGGAAAACAATGATGGTTAAATACTTACTTAAAAAACATCAAAATGAAATTACAAC